TGGCCACTGGAGTTTGGTCACTGAAGTTTGGCCACTGGGGTTTGGCCTTTGGGGTTTGGTCGTTGGCGTTAGGGGATTGACCTTTGGGGTTTGGGGATTGGCCTTTGGGGTTTGGCCATTGGAGTTTGGGGTTTGGCCACTGGAGTTTGGGGTTTGCCCACTGGGGTTTGACCCTTTGGGTTTGGGGTTTGGCCCCTCAGGAATTTGGGGTGGTTCCTCAGGACTTTAGGGCTGCTCCTCAGGAATTTGGGGTGGTTCTTCGTAAATTTGGGGCTGTTCCTTGGGATTTTAGGGTGGTTCCTTGGGAATTTGGGGCAGTTTCTTGGGAATTTAGGGTGGTTCCTCAGGAATTTGAAGTGGTTCCGCAGGACTTTAGGGCAGTTCCTTGGGAATTTGGGGCAATTCCTTGGGATTTTAGAGCGGTTCCTCAGGAATTCGGGGCAGTTCCTCAGGAATTCGGGGCAGTTCCTCAGGAATTTGGAGCTGTTCTTTGGGATTTTATGGCAGTTTCCCAGGAATTTAAGGCAATTCCTTGGGATTTTAGGATGGTTTCTTGGGAATTTGGGGCAATTTCTTGGGACTTTAGGGCAGTTCCTCAGGAATTTGAGGTGATTCCTCATAAATTTGGAACCATTCCTTGGAATTTTAGGGCAGTTCCTTGGGACTTCAGGGCGGTTCCTTGTAAATTTGGAGCCGTTCCTTGGGATTTTAGGGTGGTTCCTCAGGAATTTGGGGTGGTTCCTTGGGACTTTAGGGCAGTCCCTCAGGACTTTAGGTCAGTTCCTTGGGAATTTGGGGTGGTTCCTCCAGAATTTGAGGTGATTCCTCAGGAATTTGGGGCAGTTTCTTGGGAATTTAGGGCAGTTCCTTGGGAATTTGGGGCAATTCCTCAGGAATTTGGGACAGGTCCTCATAAATTTGGAGCCGTTCCTTGGGATTTTAGGGCGGTTCCTCAGGACTTTAGGGCAGTTCCTTGGGGCTTTAGGGCAGTTTCTTGGGAATTTGGGGCAATTCCTTTGGTCTTTAGGGTGGTTCCTCAGAAATTTGGAGCTGTTCCTTGGAATTTTAGGGTGGTTCCTCAGGAATTTGGGGTGGTTCCTCAGAAATTTGGAGCCATTCCTTGGGATTTTAGGGTGGTTCCTCAGGAATTTGGGGCAGTTCCTCAGAAATTTGGAGCTGTTCCTTGGGAATTTGGGGTGGTTCCTCCGGAATTTGAAGTGGTTCCGCAGGACTTTAGGGCAGTTCCTTGGGAATTTGGGGCAATTCCTTGGGATTTTAGGGCAGTTCCTTGAGACTTTAGGGCAGTTTCTTGGGATTTTATGGTGGTTCCTTGGGAATTTGGGGCAGTTTCTCAAGAATTTGAGGAAGTTCCTTGAGATTTTAGGGCAGTTTCTTGGGAATTTGGGGCAGTTCCTTGGGATTTGGGGCAATTCCTCAGGAATTTGGGGCAGGTCCTCATAAATTTGGAGCCGTTCCTTGGGATTTTAGGGTGGTTCTTCGGGAATTTGGGGTAGTTCCTCATAAATTTGAAGCTGGTACTGGGGACACCAGGAAGCATCCAGAGGGCTCCTCTCCCTCCTGGAAACCCGCCCTGCTCCCCAAATCCAGCTCGGAGATGGGAATCGCGACCGTCGCGATCCCGAAATCCCATTGGGAATTCCGTCTCCTGATCCCTCTTTTCCCGGGGGCTCCGGGAGGAGGAGGGAACCGCGGCCGTCGCGATCCCGAATTCCCATTGGGAATTCCGGTTCCTGATCCCTATTTTCCCTGATCCCTCTTTTTCCGGGGGCTCCGGGAGGAGGAGGGAATCGCGGCCATTGCGATCCCGAAATCCCATTGGGAATTCCGGCTCCTGATCCCTTTTTCCGGGGGCTCCGGGAGGAGGAGGGAATTGTGGCCGTCATGATCCCAAAATCCCACTGGGAATTCCGGCTCCTGATCCCTTTTCCCGGGGGCTCCAGGAGGAGGGAATTGCGACCGTCACGATCCGATCCCGAAATCCCGCCGGGAATTCCGGCTCCTGATCCCTTTTCCCCGGGGCTCTGGGAGGAGGAGGGAATTGTGGCCGTCATGATCCCAAAATCCCACTGGGAATTCCGGTTCCTGATCCCTTTTTCCCGGGGGCTCCGGGAGGAGGAGGGAATCATGGCCGTCGCGATCCGATCCCGAAATCCCACCAGGAATTCCGGCTCCTGATCCCTTTTCCCGGGGGCTCCGGGAGGAGGAGGGAACCGCGGCTGTCGCGATCCCAAAATCCCGGCGGGAATCCCGGTTCCTGATCCCTCTTTTCCCGGGGGCTCTGGGAGGAGGAGGGAATCGCGGCTGTCGCGATCCGATCCCAAAATCCCGCCAGGAATTCCGGCTCCTGATCCCTCTTCCTGGGGGCTCCAGGAGGAGGGAATCACGGCTGACACAAACCCGAAATCCCATTGGGAATTCCGGCTCCTGATCCCTCTTTTCCCGGGGGCTCCGGGAGGAGGAGGGAACCGCAGCCGTCACGATCCGATCCCGAAATCCCGCCAGGAATCCCGGCTCCTGATCCCTCTTCCTGGGGGCTCCAGGAGGAGGAGGGAATTGCGACCGTCACGATCCCGAAATCCCATTGAGAATCCCGGCTCCTGATCCCTCTTTTCCCGGGGGCTCCAGGAGGAGGATTTCCTGCGGCCCAGCAGCCGGGAAGAGGCCCAGCGGCTGCTGGAGCTGGAGCGGCTGCGGGTGGAGCGGCTCATGGAGCGGCAGCAGCGAGAGATGCTCGAGGACGATCGGTGGCTGCGGCACGAGGTGGAGAGCCTGGTGAGAAATCCCGGGAATCTGGGAATGTGGGAATGTGGGAATGGGACGATCGGTGGCTGTGGCACGAGGTGGAGAGCCTGGTGAGAAATCCCGGGAATCTGGGAAT